GGCTACCAGGCACTTATACCCCTTTCTTTACCAGGCCAATTTTCAGCTTTCAGCGCTGTCGCACTTTGAATGACAATTGCGCGGTCATGCAACATTGTACCCATATGAAATTTTTATTTTTTTCTCACAAATAGAGCTTTCTTTTGGTGGTATTTAATCACTGCTGGGGCACTTTACTTTTTGCGCTATAAAAAAAAATGTTTGTTTCTATTATAACATTTTTCAAACAGGTAATTTTTCTCCTTCACTGATGTGCATTGATGAGGCAGCACTGATGGGCACTAATAGGCGGCACTGATAGGCAGCACTGATGGGAACTAATAGGCAGCACTGATAGGCAGCACTAATGAGGTGGCACGGATAGGCGGCAATGATAGGTGGCACTGACTGGCGGCACTGCTAGGCATTGACTGGCACAACTGCTGGGCACTGACTGGCACAACCACTGGGCACTGACTGGTGGCACTGACTGGCAGCACTGACTGATGGGCTGCACTGATGGGCATTGATGGGTGGCACTGCTAGGCACAGGTGGGTGCACTACTGGGCACAGGTGGGTGGAACTGGTGGATGGCACTGCTGGGCACCAATCATCGGGCACTGATCATCAGTGCCCTGATGATCAGTGCCGATCCCTGCTCTGACAACTGCCGGTTCTCGGAAGTACTTTCCTCACACTCTGACAGCTTGAGGAAAGTGCAGCCAAGAACCGGCAATTGCATTTCCCAGTGATCAGCGTGTCATTGGGCACGGTTGATCAGGTGGTAAAAGGCCGCTGTGATTGGCCTTTTACCACATCACGTGATCAGCTGTGTCCTGGCGATCACGGAGATCGCCAGGTGCGCGCCCCCCGAAGGCGCGCAGGAGAGCACGTTCTGGGAGGACATCATATGACGCCCGTCATTCGGCTATCTGCGGTCGGCAGGTGGTTAAACACGTCCAGTAAAAAAAAATAAAAATTGAATTTCATCATAAAATGTATCAGCAACTTATAGCAGGACTGTGGGACTGCTGCGGACATTCTGACACTGGGGGGGGGAACTGACTTGGTGTCACTGACATCCCCAGTGACACCAATACAGTGATCAGTGCTAATAAAAAGCACTGACACTGTACTAATGGCACTGGGCAGAAAAGGGTTAACATATGGGGCAATCAAAGGGTTTAACTGTGTGCTATGTGCCGTTTTACATAGTGTGCTGTGTGTGTGTGCTTTCCACTGTAAGCATACTGCTTTGTATGGTTCTGCTATGCACAGCCATGCAAAGCATTGTGCAGGGGCTGACAGGGGAGATAACTGTATTGTTTACAAACAGTTCTCCTCCCTGTCAGAGATGCTCGGCAATCACTGGGCGCCGGTGCGTAATCATCGGCCGGGACATGCACGTCCCCTACCCGGAACTGTAAAATCATGTATATATATATATATATATATATATATATATATATATATATATATATGTGATTTTGCGCACCCATGCCGCCCTGTAGCAGTACTTCTGCTATATGGCAGACGGGAAGCAGCTAGCAGCAAGTAGGATAAAGTAGGAAAGGCTGCAGTAAATCCAGCCATACATGGGTCGAATTCCAAAAGAATTTTCTTTCAAAAATCTTTTCTAAGAATTTTTGTTCAAATTTCACACCATTAGTGGGTCACAGAAACGGCCGATTTTTGGGTGGCCATCGAATTTGAGTGATCTGGCATGTTGGAAATTTTTTTAAAAACTAACAAATTTTGAATCAATGATGGGAGAATCGTGCGGGGAAATATAAACAAAAAAGAAATAAGCGTGAGCTGTGACCTGGAAAGAAAAGAAAATTACCAGCCACGAAAATTCTTTTCTGTAGCAACACAAGGTCAAATTGAAGGCTTGGTTGGTTGAATTTCGAAATCAATGGTGGCACCATCGGGTTACAAAACGCACTAAATTTCAGATTTTCGAAAGAAAATTCATTGAGAATTCGACCCACGTATGGCCTGCATAAGGGAGTATTCTGGCCTGGGACTCAGGAAGGTACCCGAGAGAGCTGGATGTGGAAAACACTGTATAAGAGAAAACACAAAAGAGGTTGCAAAAGCTTGTTTTTTTTGGTGACTGAGAAAAGCCCACCCCCTTTCAGAGAGGTATCTGTCTTAATTAGTTAGCACCTGGATGGCAAGGATTTATTTTCTGTTTTGTTCTGTCTATTGAAACCTTTTTAAATAAATCTGAGTCAAAGATAAAACTGTCACTTGGACTGCCTTTTTCCCAGGGAAGGTGGTCCTCACTTGTGCCAATTCCTGCAGTGGTTATAGGAATGGATGTTGGCAGGTCTTAGAGAAAAGGTTAAACTGATGTTCAAATTGGATCAGCTCATCTTAACCTCCCTGGTGGTATTCCGGAGTATAGCTCGGGGGTTAACTTTCAGTATCAGAAGCTGTAAGCCCGAGCTACACTCAGTATTACACTGCAGCACTGCTCCAGGATCCCTCCAGCACTTACCTTGTCCTGTGCTCCTGCGATGTCCCTCCTGCAGCGTCCCCGGCCATGTCCTTCCAGGTTCCGTTCCCTGCGAGTTTCGGGACGTATGGGGGAACGGAACCGGCGGGAATTTCAAAAATGTAAAAATGTGACATTCACTCAATACACTAAAATCTGATAGTATTACATTACTGTATCAAAGCATTTCACATACATTTTGTCCCGAGTGCTTTGTCCTGTGCCCTGCCTGCATATTTATTGTTCTTTCTGCCTGGAAACTGAGAAACGTCCATGGCGTCAAAAAAAGCGTCCCTTTAGGTCAAAAGTGGTTTTAGACCAGCTAGAGAACAGCGATAGTAAATTAGAACCACTTGCAGAATTGAGTAATAATAATTCGTGGGGGAAATTCGTCATCAGACACTGAAAACGATTTTGCGACTAAGCTCAGCGATGTGCAAACTTGGCGCTCTATTTCAAATTTCAGTGTTTTTGGTTTGATTAGATTATTGAATTAAATGTATTATTATATTATTATTTTTTATGATTATTTATTATATGATAATTTATGATTTCGTGTTTCAAATGTTTTCATACCCGGGATGTTTACTAGACTCTTGTTCGGACAGATTTCAGTGAGTTATTCCTAAGAATTACAGGCCTACAATAAAAAATCAACATATTTCCATTGAAAACAATGTACCGCTTTGAGCACAGAAATACTGACATAATAAGACCGCTAGGGAAGTTAAAAAAAAAAAAAAAGAAAACACACCACTGAAAATGTTTAATCTCAATCCAATTAATATCACATGATGTCCAGAAGGTCCAATGGCATTTCTCCATATGCACCCACAAGGGTCCTCAGTGGGTAAACAGAAGAACGATGATATTAAATGTGAAGCAAGTCCCCATAGAGACATTACTTTTTGATTGTACAATGGAATGGTCACAACCTTGGCCTTGCTTACATGTAAAATGAATGTTTGGCTAATGGGCAGGAATGTTGCATTCACCTGGTAATAAACAAGTTGTGCAACAAGCGCCATCTAATATTAAAGGACAGATATTACTTGAAGTACTTTATAAATAGGATAAATGTCTCCCCAGCAGACTGTACAACGAATGTCTTTAAGGGCTTAGTTCAGTTCTGACTAGGGGGCTGATTTACTAAAGGCAAGTAGACTGTGCAGATAAAGATGCACTTTGCAAGAAATATAAACACTCCACAGCGCAAAAAATATATATAAATGTAAAAGTCCAAACAAAAGTCACAAAAATATAAGAATGTGCACCATTGGACTTTTTACACATTTATATTTTTTTTTTGCGCTGTGGAATGTTTATATTTACATTTGATTGTTTTTTTTTTCCCTTCATTAGCAGCAGCATTTAGATTTGGATTATATTTATATATAATTTTTTTTTTTTGGCGCAGGTTTTACTTTATTCATTATTCTTTGCAAGAAATACCCAATCACGTGCAAGAAAAATTTAAAAAAAGAACTTGCACATGATTGGATGATGGAAGTCAGCAGAGCTTCTGCTCATTTATTAAGCTGTGGAGCAACTGCTCTTGCAAAGTGCACAGTCTATTTGCCTTTAGTAAATCCACCCCTATGTGTTACAAATATCAGCACAGATTGCACCTGTCAGCAAAGCTAAACTATGAGGAAGGTTTACTAAAACTGGAGCTCTCAGAAGCTGGAGCAGCCAATCAGCTTCCAACTTCAGCTTGTTCAATTAAGCTTTGGCAATAAAACCTGGGATCTGATTGGTTTGTATGCAGAGTTGCACTAGATTTTGCACTCTCCAGGTTTTTTAAAGAACCCTTCTATGTGTCTGAAGACTACCTACCCCTCTGTTCTGCCATGCTGCTTCTTTGTGAAAAATCCCAATTATGCTCACCTATATCAATGTGATCAAGCACTTTACAGTAGATCAGTGCCTGGTATTTGACTACACGTCCCCTAAATCCTTGTGCCAAACAGCACCCCTGCACAGGAGGGGGTGGAGCGTGTGAAAGCACTTATCTCTCCACGTTTATGTACTATATATGTGTAGCACTACCCCATTAGGAGTTGCTGAGTCATTTTCAGGCTCCCTGTGGTTTTGGTCCCCTCTCTGAAAGCCCAACCCCTGCTGACACCACAGTACTCTTTTAACTAGTATAAATTACCACCAGAAAGTAGACTCCCACACAGCATAGGGTAACTGGTATGATGTTTATATTAGACTTCAATGTAAGCTTGGTTAACCACTTGCCTACCGGGCACTTCCTCCCCCCTTCCTGCCCAGGCCAATTTTCAGCTTTCAGCTCTGTCACACTTTGAATGACAATTGTGCGGTCATGCAACACTGTACCCATATGAACTTTTTATCATTTTTTTCACACAAATAGAACTTTCTTTTGGTGGTGTTTAATCACCACTGGATGTTTCTTTTTGTGCTATAAACAAAAAATGAGCAAAAAATTTGAAAAAAAAAGTTTTTCATTGTTTCTATTATAACATTTTGCAAACAGGTCATTTTTCTCCTTTGCGGATGTGCGTTGATGAGGCTGCACTGATAGGCAGCACTGATGGGAACTGATGAGGTGGCACGGATAGGCAGCACTGATGGGCACTGATAGGCGTCATTGATAGGCAACACTGATGAGCTGGCACTGATGATGCTGCACTGATGGCACTGATGGGCAGCACTGCTGGGCAGCACTGATGGGTGGCACTGATGGGGGCACTGATGGGCACAGGTCAACACTGGGTGTGCACCGCTGGGGGCGTGCAGGGGGTGTGTTCTGGAAGGATGTCCATGGACGTCTTCCCAGACGGTTGGGAAGTGGTTAAACAGCACAAAGTAGTATGGATGAGTGTAATAGAAATTGTCACTCTTAGCAAATTTGAGCAAAGAAAACACATACAGCAGAACCTCAATCAGTGTTAACAGGCCTTCTTTCAGAAGTGAACCTAATAACTTCAACCTGAGGTGTTTCTAGTCCCCAGTGAATAAGGAAAACTACCAAAGATTGAACTAGCTCACGTTGGGCCCCCAGACTCTGATGGCAAGGATCAAATCTAAGATTGAAAATTGACTAGGATAGTTAATGTCCTTGAAATGCAGTGAGGAATCTAATGTGTGCTGGTTGGGGCCCAGTTGTTCAACCAGTAGGGAGGTATGAAGGTGTCAGTCCCTCAAAGGATTATTGCAAGGAAAGGAAGAAAGAAGTACTTTCAGTTTTAAGCGGCACTTGACTTTGGTGTTGTCCCTTTTAATGCACTGAGAAAAGGTCAGCTTTTGGCAAATAAGGTGTCCAACTGGCAATAGGGCTTGTTGGCAAAAGGCAACTCCACTCTGGGCTGCAGTAACCAATGGTACTGGTGGTAGAATGTCCTTTAGGAAGGTGGGCTAATGGTTAAGGGAGTGACCCGGTCAACTCTGATGATTAAACTGTGCTGCAAATGTGTTCACCTGTAGCGGCTGTGGGAACTAGGCCGCAACATGTGTTAACTGAATGCAATATCCACAACTGTGTGCAGGAAAAGTAGCAGATATGAGGAGAATGTCAGTGTTCTCTTGTTTAACTGGTGTATGGGACTCTCTCACCCGATCCGTGGCTTCCAGCAGGTCCTGGTTGTCTCTCTCTGTCAGCGGATGACGGCCCCCGCAGGTTCTCCAGCCTCACCATGCTCCGGGTCACCTGCTGGCAGACTGTCTCTCTGAACAAAGTGGCAAGGCTACCTGTCAGCAGCTCCTCCTTGCTTCTCCTCTCTCTAGCTCTGCGGCCTGGTCTGGTTCTCTGGCAGTCAGCACAACTCTCTTTCTCTGCTTCTGCTCTCCAGCTTTCTCCCCTCTCGCTGTCTGTTCCCAGGCTTCAATATTTATATGCCTCTGCCCACACGCCAGCTCTTCTGGGAAAAATGTAGTCCCCCAATTAGCAGCCTTCTAACAACCCATATGGAAGAAAAATATATTTGAAATACTACAGTTTTGGCCATATTCAATATATTTCAAAATATATTTCAATAAATATATATACTGTATATATATATATACTTCATGTTGAAATGTGTTTTTATTACAAAATATATGAAAAATATCTTAAAAAATAAATTTCAAATATACTGTATGTCTTTAAAAGTACAAATCTACATTTTTGGAATGCATTTACAAATATATGTAAAAATATATGTAAAAATTACATATAGGTCAGGGGATTTCCATCCTCCTAGAGCAGAAAAAAAACTCCTACAAACTTTAGCAGAACACTGATAGAAGTCACAAGACTGCTCTAACTTCTGATGAGAAAAGGTATTTAGCAGTTTATATTTACTAAAATAATTGCATTTCCATGTTCTGTGTACTGTGGGAGATCAGATATATTGAATGTAGGGTTCCTGGGTTTAATAACACTTTAAAGTGGAGTTTCACCTGAAAAAAAGTCAGCAGTCACAAAAACTGTAGCTGCTGACTTTTAAAATACAGCCACTTACCTGTCCCTCGGTCCAGCGGTGTCCTCACCACCTCTGGTTTCACTGGCCGTCTTCTCTCCCTGACGTCGGCATCTTCACTGTGGGCACCCAGCTGTGACAGCTTAGGGCTTCATAGCTGGGTGCCCACTGCGCATGCACAAGAAGTGCTGCGCTTTGTGAATGGCCCTGTATTCTTCTGGGACCTGTCACGTATCCCAGAAGACTACGGAGAAGGGGAGGAAAACTGCTTCCGATCGCCTAGGTGATTGCAGCGGAAGTGGGAGCAGATACCTGTCAAATTCGGGTACCCGCTCCCCCCCCCCCCCCGCTCCCCAAAGTCCTTAATGGGGAGAGGGGGACAAAGGCTTAAAGTGGAACTTCCCCTTTTGGGTGGAGCTCCACTTTAAGTAGTTTTGAACTTCTGCCTGTTACTACTTTATTAAAAAAAATAATACATTGACTGTACACTTACAAAAAACTATGAAACATTGTATTCAGCTAGCATAACAAAATGTTCACCTGCATTTGCTAAATAATGACTAAATGTTTGTACAATAATCCAGAGACAGACAGGCATACATATTACAATTTACTTACTGTAATTAATAACTAGCTTATTAACAACTGCAAATAATTTATGGGGTAATTCTTGTAGAAGCACTGGACTGTGATATCTGTATGCACTTCATACATGCAATCATCATATTAAATATATGAAACACTTTTCATTTTACATGCCTATTTTTTTATTTTATAAAGCAGAATGACAGTTGCTGGGATGTGTTATAACACCACCTAGGATAATTACAGTAGCCCACTGAAGCCCAAGAATCTACACGAGTTACTTCTGAAGGAGAAGGGGACATTTCTGTCTCATTGACTTCAATGGTAGTGTGTGAAAAAAGCATGTCATGTGTTTTTAAGGTGCTCCCATAATAAAAGTCTAGGGGCCAAAATTGTGAGATATTTCCCCATTCCTAAAAATGTGTGAAAAAACATGCAAAATTGCACAAAAAAGTCAAAAAAATTGCCCACCTGCACTATACTCAAGTGTGAATGGGGGCTTGAAACTTAAAGTAAAAACAAAACTGTCTTCCATGTTATAGTTTTTTCCAACCTGGCCACTGTCAGTTTTCCTAGACAGCTTGGTCTGCACTAAGGGCCAATTCACACCACAAAAACTTCCTCCAGATCCATACTGGATGCATTTCTGCATGCGCTTTTTTAATGCCTTGTTGATGTATTCCAGTGCATTTTTGTTGCATTTCCGAATATGTTCCAGATCCTTTTTTTTCTCCTTTTTTTGGGTCATTTCAATTGGAAAATATTTTCATCAAGACATTTTCCTTTGCTTAGTTTTCCTGTTTTTTTCACTGTACTGGTCTCTGGTGCCTTTTGGTGCTTTTTACTGTGTTCCAGTACAGTTTTGTGCAGGAAAAAAGCAGCATGTTGTACTTGTTTCTGGAACTGAAAAGCACTGGGATGCACTGCAATGGTGTGAACTATGCCATTGGAATTCATGTAATGCACTTTCCATGCTTTATTGATGCAGAAAACAGCACTGTACTGCATGTGGTGTGAACAGGGCCCTAAAAGGTGAAAAAAAACTTTTAACAAAGGCATGTGAAAGAAACAAAAATGTATATAACACTAGCAAGACAGATATTAACTTCATGCAGCATAGATATGCCACGTGCACCATAATTTTAACATTTTCTGTGCTCTTCACCACTCACATATCATGGCTTCTACATAATCTTACACCAACTGCCACTTACATCACCATGGCAACCTTATAAAATATATATATATATATATATATATATATATTTATTTTTTTCATTTTTGTGTGCCTATTACCCACCCCCAAGCTAGGCATCACAGCTGCAGTTAATGCCTAGAAACCTGAGCTTCTCCGCACATAAGCCTCATTCAGTGAACAGTAACACTGCATATTGCCAGATGTCTCTGCCTGTGGCTTTGTGGGTGACTATCGTAGAATTCACAAACCACAGCTATGGTTCAGCGTTGCTTTGCCTCTGATGTATATCCCTGTATATCTGATACAATCTCACCTCTATTGCAATGTAGTTGAGTTTTTGAATATGGAGATGTACTGCAGTCACACCTATGTGTATGCTATATCTGACCCATATCTGGATAGGTACAAAGCTCACAACTTCAGATAGCTGGCTGGATTCTGCATACAATGATTTGCTTCCACCACAGTTTTTTTCCTGAACTCTTCGGCTGGTTGTACACAACCTTACAAGCACAGACTATAAAGCCACCCACATGGAAAAAAAATATATTTTAAATATATTTGAAAAATATTCTTCCCAAATATATTTACATATTTTTGAAATGCTACAATTTTGGCCATATTTTTATATATTATATATATATATATATATATATATATATATATATATAGCATGTTGAAATGCTTTTTTATTACAACATGTATGAAAAATATTTTTAAAAATACATTTCAGATATACTGTATGTCTTTAAAAATACAAATCTTCATTTTTGGAATGCATTTACAAATATATGTTAAAATGACTTTTTTATATGTTAAAAATATCTGAAGAATATATTTAAAAATATATATTTTTAAAAATATATATTTTTTTAAATATATTTTTCAGATTTTTATTAACATATAAAAAAGTAATTTTAACATATATTTTTACATATATTTGTGAATGCATTCCAAAAATGTAGATTTGTATTTTTAAAGACATACAGTATATTTAAAATGTAGTTTAAAAAATATTTTTCATATATTTTGTAATAAAAACACATTTCAACATGCAGTGTATATATATATATATATATATATATATATATATTGAAATATATTGAATATGGCCAAAATTTCAAATATACTGTATGTCAATATATTCGGGAAGAATATTTTTAAAATATATTTCAAATATATTTTTCTTCCATATGGGCAGTTCCAGCATTGGTTTGAAAGATGAGGTCCTGTAATACCCACTGATACATTGCAGTAATATAATGTGATGAAATGGCACCCCAACACAGAATACAGTAGGTGCCTGACAGAGCCACACTGCATCACACCACAGTGTACATACCATGCTTTGTGCTGTGCTGCATTTTAAAAAAGAAGTTGTTGCAGGTCTGATTTTTGTCATCTTGCTGTGTCTTGGCACCCATTTAAAACTCAATATAATCATCTTCATTTATTAGTGCCTGGTCACACCGGTGCGATTTGCGTATTGAAATCGCACCTGAAATCGCATTTAATGAATGTGAATGGCAGTGTCTTAACATGTGCAATTTGCTGCAGCACGATTTCTAAAGTAGATCTTGCATTACTTTTTTAGCAGTTTTGTTGCGATTTCACATTTATAGAATATAATGGAAATCGCACCGCAAATTGCAAGAAATCATTGAAAATACAAGTAG